ATATTTATTTCTGTTGTCTTTCCTTTCCAGGAAAACTGTGTCCTACCAGAAAAGTACCACATCATAGGTCCTAGCTTTTTATCATAGGGCTCACTGGGTAAAGGTTATGACCCCTAAAAAAACAGATAAAGGAGGAAAAAATAGACTTTCCACTGCATTATGGAAGGGCAGATTCCTGGTGCCACACTTCCACTGAGAGCAATCTCCTTATATACATGCTGAAGAAGAGGAAGCTCACAATTCTTCCAGTTTGAGTCTGACTGAAACATGGTCTTAAGAACTTTGAAATCTTGATACATGTAACAAAAGCCAAAAGTACTGTCACTTCAAAAATGGATCTCTTTTCTGGTTTGTAAGAGGTGATAACTTTACACCTTTTTGGAAGGCTTGACATTGCTCTGTCTGGGAAGGCCCCCACCACAGGCCGAGTGACTATTCAAGACAAAGCTAAGACTCTAGAATCACAGAGATGGTTGTCAATGCAGCAGGCTAACGTTACATCTTTTTTTTTTTTTTTAAGATTTATTTATTTATACAAGACCTGGGGTACAGGTCAGAGGCGCTGGAGGGTGAAAGAATTCACCAGAGACAGAGAGGGGAGCAGAACAGGCAGACTGATGAAATACGCTGCTGAGGGAAGCAGCGGGCATGACAGGAGAGGTCTGTCATGTCATGTGGGTATCTCCCTGGCCGTCTGGGAATCGAACCCGTGCTGCAGAGGCTGTGGACAGCTTCAAAGCACAGCGCTCAACCCGCTGCACCATCAGGAAGGCCCAACGTTACAGCTTTGAACACTTTTTCTTCCATCAACAAAACAATGGGGATTTTTTCTAAATATGGGTTGAGACACTGTGTGTGTTTTTGTGGTATGTGAGTGTTTTCTTGGAGAGATGCTAACAGGAGCCCAAAGCTGAAACAAGTCATTTCCACCAGAAACTGCCACAAGTGCTGCCTCAAGGCCTCACTGATGAAGTATGGCTCAGTTTGTCTTTCATGGATGTACAATCCAGAGTCTAGAACCTTGCTGGAGTCATAGTAGGTATTTTTAATGTTTGTTGACTACATGAAAGAAAAGTGCTATTCCTTATGCAAACAATTCTGCTCTTAGATACAGGAAAGGGTAGATTCATGAGCATCCAAAGACAGAACCTTAGTAGAACAGTACTTGGCCAAATTGATTTTTTTGTGGTGCTGGTGAAGCAATTTGACAAGAGAATCATATGAACATATATGACGTGCTAATGACTCACAAAAATGAACTGGGAAGCCTTGAATGGTAGAAGTACTCCTATGTGGACAGGTTGGAACTCAAATTCGTAGTATTTGGACATGAATATAGTGATCTACTGGCTCCCATGCTGGTGTGACCTTCAATATAAGTAGCACATACAGCACTAACACTCCATGTCTCTGAGCAGCTCTTTCCTGTCACACCATTCCCGTATTCTCAAATGAGTGCCTCAAAGATTCAGCCTCCATCTTGAAGGAAAATGCTGCAACTGTAAAGTTACTTGAATAGTCACTTTAGTCACTTGGCCTGAGGTGGGGCCTCCCTGGTGGTGCAAGATGTTAAGCACCGCACTATGAAGCAATCCACAGCCTCTGCATCACAAGTTCAATCCCCAGCTGGCCAGGGAGAAACCCACGTGGCACAGCAGACCTCTCCTGTCTCGACCGCTGCTCCCCTCAGCAGTGTATTTCAGTCAGTCTGCCTGTTCTGTTCCCCGCTCTGGCTCTGGTGAATTCTCTCACCCCCCACACCTCTGGCCTGTATCCCAGCTCTTGTATGCATAACTAAATAAATCTCTAAAAAAAAAAAAAAAAAAAAAGTGTAACTTCTAGCTATAGATCATCTACACTATCCACTTTCCTTCTTCCCTGATTAGTGAAGCTATGAGTCTAAGAATATAGTAGATAATAGGATCAGTCTTCCTAAAAGGAATGATAGACTTTTTTTCCAATATGTCCAAAGTAGGCCTTTTCCAATAACTGTCAACTTGAAACAGGGAACTAAGATTAATTGAGGTCCTGTGGACCTTGGGAGAAACTGTTACCATTACATAAAGAATGCAGGTTATCTAGATTAAGGGACATGTCCAGAAGCAAGCTTTTTATGAGAAAAATATAACTTAAGGCAGGGTATACATCCAAAAGGAAGATCTGTCATAGGAAGTCACTCCCTCCTTATCACATGATATAGCCCTCTTTGTCTTCAATGCTCCCGGCCTCTCAAGTTGGGATTTATACTCCTTTCTTCCTGACCAAAATTGGTACCAGCATAATCATTGTAGCCCCCTCCAGCCCATCCACAGATTATTAAATTGATTTTTCCTTTAACTTTTCTGATGGTGATTTGATTACTCATCCAGCCTGAGAACCTAGAGTTCTATCTCCTCATCTGTAACAGAAACTTCTCTCTATTCCATTGTACTGTGTTCAAAATAAAAAGAAAAAACCTAACTTAAAAAATCATTTTGCAATCAAAGACACTATAATTTCATTCATATGTAGTACATAAAGAAACAAAGTGAATGAACTAAGTAAAAAAAAAGTTTAGACTGTAAGGGAAGGGGTAAAGAAGATCAATTATATGATGGATAGAATTAGACTTTTAATGGGGAACTTAATGTAATATATACAGATGTTTTATAAAGAAGCACACCTGAAACTTATGTAATGTTATAATGCATTGTTACTTCAATGAAAATTAGCATTATGATAATCATTAGGATAGAATGAAGGTGAAAAAAAATGGCCAAACTGATGTTTCAGGGACTGATACAGTCAAAATGCTTTATTGCATACTGATTTCCCAAAGGAGATACTGTTTTAAGAAAAAGCTCTATGGGTGGGAAATCCAGTATTAATGGCCATGAATATTTTAGTTAAGTGGTCCAGAAAGAGACACAAGGCCAAGTAAGGCCATCAGTCTTTAATCATCAGAATAATGCCAGAATATTTCTAACAACTCCCCTGAGAGAAGATGATGGGCACCTACAAAAGGTCAGCAAAGATCTAAGATAATTTCAGAATTCAAGGAAACAGCCCGTCTTTCATTTTATTAATGGCAAAATTATAATAGGAAAACGTTCAAACTTAAATTTATACTCACGTACATATTCTAACACTAAAACTACAAAATCTAATATGACTTCCTCTAGCTGCCTTTGGGTATGCTCTGAGATTGCCATTTCAATAAACTGTTCTCTAGTTTCCAAATAATCTTAACTAACATTTAATCTCTTCCGTTTTTTGTCTCTGGTATAATATTTAGTATAAAAATTGAGAAAATGTCTTGGGCTTCAACTGGTTTTCTTTACTAATGAGAAGTCTTTCAAGACATTCTTGATTTGGAGAAGTTACTTTTAAAAAAAAAGTAAGAAGCAGCAGTAAAACTACAATTTCAAGAGACAGGCCATCGGAGTAGACATATGACTACATTCATGGCAGTCAGGAGAATGTAAGTGTCCATCATTAAGATGCAGCTTAGCAAGCATAACCAGTGATACGTGTTCAAATACAATAAAATCTGTAGGAGCCAACAAGCAGATATGTGCTAAGTAATTTTTCTTTTTTCTCCTCATCTAGGAAATAACATAGTACATAGTAGATAGTGGGATCTGACATAAGACATCTAGGTTTGAAATACAGTTCAATTGTAATTCATGTGTTTGATTTCTGTATTTCCTCAGCTTCTAGCTCTTGCTAATAATAGTAACATCTGGCTAGAATGTTTAAACTTCTTGTAAATTAATACTGTGGTGAACAGATTGTGCTACAAAATATTTTGAAACCAAAAACGATCAATCTAGATCCAGCATACATGACCATTTAAGTCAGTCATGGGGGAACAGATTAACAATTGCTACCCTTATCCAGCACCCTATGTTCTAACAATACTGCTCTTTCTGCAATTCAACCATACAAAACAATTTCCCTTGCCCTGGAAAGATTTTCTCCTGATTTTTAACCGCTGGCTCTTCTTTACGGCCTAAGTTCAAATGTCACTCCCTCCGAGACCTTTTCTAGCTTCTCCTACGCAATTTTTCCTGAGTTTATTCATATTATTGAGTCTCTTGTAACAGTGCCCACAAGAGGCCATTATCATGCTTTAAGTTTATTTTCTTGTCTCTCTCCACTGATTAGAATGTAAGCTCCATTGGGGCCTGTTGGTCTAGCCCACAGGTAAATTCTCAGTCAAAAAGAGGGTCTTATACAGTCTTTCACAGTAAGTAAAGGATGGATGGATGAGGAAGCATACGGCCTAGGTGGTTGATAATGATCCTTCTCTGTTCAGAATCTACTGTTCATTGCTTCTGTGACCAATATCTGCTCTTAGCCTCCATCATTTCTCACCTGGGTCACAGTAGGCTTCATAAAGGGTCTGCCTGCTTCTACTCTGGATTCCTTATGGTTTCTTTCCACACGAGAGCCAAGGTAGTCTTCTTTAAAACATGTAGGTCACTCTTCTGTGAGATCTGGGCAATAGTTCCCCAGATTACTGAAAGTCGAAATTTGTACAATAACCTAGAAGGCCCAACGTGGCAAGTTTCCTCCTTAAATGACTTTTTCCTCACTCATTCTGCATAAGTAGTCTTGCCCTCCTTTTCCTTTAACATGCCAAGTACCTTAGAGTTTTTGCCCTAAGGTGCTCTCTCTTTTTATGATCCTTTCCCCATATCTGATTGACCAGTTCCCTCACCTACTATGTTCTTTAAAATCTGATCTTCCTACTGAAGCCTATCTACATATTTTATTTACTACCACAACCAACTGCCCCATACTGATGCCAGCTCTCCCCTTTGTTTTTTCCATAGACCTTATTACCTTGTAACATAAGTAATAAACATAACCTGCTTCTATGAGCCCCAGGTTATAGTACAACCCAGGAAATAGCAATACAAGAGCAGGATAGGGAGAAGAGAGGGGAATGTGACTCAAAGCAATTAAAGCTGAAGATAACCCACTGTACAATTCTGAGCTACTGAAAGTAAAATTTCACTTGAAAAAAATCACAATGGTACTTTATTCAACCTTATTGACAAAAGAATCATTTTTGTTCCATACCTAAAATTCATTAAGGCCAATCAAAACCTGAATTTACTGGTATAATTTACCCTAACGTGATAAAATAACACAAAACACGGTAAAGACTGCTTTATTGACAGCAGTACAAGTCAATAAATATTGATCCCCAAACAACTCAGATTATTTATCGGATTACTGGTCCACTGAACCGGCTGATTGCTGGGATGACAAATTGAACTCAATCTTGCTTCTTGGGAAATGAAGCCATAACCAGTTGATATATGGCATATCCTGCTCCTGAAAAATAAAAGAAGAACTTAAAAGAAGAACTTAAAATTCTAAGATATAAATGTATAATCCTAATATTCCAGTAAAAAAGTTATAAGGCAAGGTTGGTATTAAGACCACTTTTATGAGAAAATAAAGTATTTTGATAGGTGCTGGGCAAAATTTTAAATATATAATCTAATTTTAGTATTAGCTAACTTCTACAGAAAGATATAGCATAATAATGTATCTGTCAACTTAATAACATAAAAAAAATTTAAAATAATGTTAAAATATAAAGGTTATTTTCATAGCAACCTAAGATTGCCTGCAAAATGCTAATGATTCAAAATCCAAAAGAGGTCAAAACACACAAGTCTTCCTTAAAGCATATTACCAATGTAAAACCAAGGAAGAGTGGTATAAAATAAAATTTTAAAATAATCAAATTTAAGAATAACTAATAACTGGACATTTATTTTTTAAACTAATAACCAGAATGTGTAAAAAAAAAAAAAAAATTACACTGAGGAGGTATGAACCTCTTCCCCTAAATCATACACGGTTTTGTAAGCCCATGTTACCTCAATAAGTAAAAATAAATCAAGTTTAAAAAGAAATAGTCACATTGACAAAGAGAATTTAGAACTTTAATCTTAAGGAAGCCTAAATGTCACTCTATGGTGGTTGTCCTGGACGAGAAATGTTTCTTCACTATATTCAATTTAAGCCAAAGAAGTCACTGGAGCATGAACAGGGGCATTCTGTAGTCAGGCTCCAATCCCAATTTTCTCAAACATAAGTAATATGAACTTGAATAGTTAACATAATTACTTATGTTTAAAATTAAAATATATTAGAGAAATAATAGAAATCCATGTATGTGGTACTATCAAAAGGATGAGCACACCATAATTACTCTATCACTGTTTCCCTTCAGCTACCAGGGGGAGCTATTACTCAAGTTCCTAAGTCTGGTTGCATGCAGTAGACCAGTTTGTGATAGTCCACTGCTAAAATGCTGAATAATGGATCTACTCTACCCTATCAAAGTACTTTGCATAATAAAAACAATTATTTTAAATTAAAACCTCTACTGTTCTTTAGAGGTTTTATTTCTATCACAAACATGTATTTACAGGGTCTAGATGGAAAATTTGCTTATATTTTAGATCACAGTCAAAATGTTTAAAAGCCTGTTGCAGGGGATGGGGTAGAATGGATGTCTTGACTCTACCAATGGCACCACCAATGAGTTGCACACTCTAAAACCAACTCATCACAAGATAATCAGCATACTTTATTGGTCTGATTTTTAAAACACATTAAAATACATACATATATATATATATACACACACACACATATATATATATATATCTCACAATCCTGAGTCCTTACACGTGAATTATTACAATCTTGTATTAAATTATTAGCACAGTAAAGCCATTATTATTATTTTTCCAGAAACCAAACATTACAAATGCAAGAAATGGTATCTTACCACCAACTGTTAGAATCATGGTGGCCCTATACAGGAGGGCATCAGCTACCCCACCCTTTAGATGCACTGGAATTCCATTTTCCTCCTAGGTTGAAAGAAAAAAGAATAATATGTGATTTGTTTTCAAGTAAGTCCAAAAGACTAATTCATTCATAAAAAATTAAATGCACTACAACCTCCCCTAGAATTAAAATATTTTAAATATTTAAGTTCAAAAGGACTAAAATATTCCCGATTCTTTCACTACTACCACAATCAATGCTTCTTCTTTGAAAGAGGTAATGTCTAAGAGTCAACATTCTTTTAAAGTTGATTTGAGATCCAAGAAAGATTCTAAGAGACACATAAATGTGAAAGCTGTCAAAATATATTTGAGTTTATCAATTCAGTTAATTTTTTAAAAATCAGTAATTAAAACATTTTTGGATTATTCATAGAGAAGGCTTTCTTCCTCAAAAAAAGGCGAGGAGGTTTTGGTTTATAACCCTTATATCCTCAGCACCTAGTCCCACAATTGGCATGTAGTGATATTTTACACACCTGTTAAATATAAGTACCTCATTTTTATGTAGTATATATAACAACTTTTTTCTATCATTTAAAATTTTATGTAGAGGACCTCCCCTGGTGGCGCAGCAGTTGAGCACTGGGCTGCTAAGCTTCCCACAGCCTCTGCAGCACTGGTTCAATCTCCGGCCACCAGCGAGGGTCCCACATGGCGCGCAGACCTCTCCTGCCGCGCCCGCTGCTCCCCTCCGCAGTGTATTTCGTCAGTCTGCCTGTTCTGTTCCCCGCTCTGGCTCTGGTGAATTCTCTCACCCTCCCGCGCTTCTGACTATACCCAGTACTCGTATAAATAAATAAATAAATCTTAAAAAAAAAAGTAAAATTTTATCTAGGAAAAACCATAGATAAAACAACAAAAAAATCACTTATAACCTAACTACTTATAAAACAGGTAAACGTCTCTCTTCCACTGTCTTTGCTCATGAGAAAACCACTATTAATAGCATACATATCTTTAAGTATGTCTTCTAATTCAACACATAATTGCTTAGTACAAAAAAAGCGATTATGCAATATAATGATCTACCACATATCTTTTCTCTGTCCAATACTATCCTAAAAACCATTCTATTAGTCCACCTAAACCATAACTTACAACTCTTACAGCACTACACTGGGGGGAAAAAAATCATAATTGAATTAGCCAGTTCTTCTCTAACGGATATTTAGGTTGCGACAGCTTTCTTTTTTTATAATTAAAATCTCATAATGAATAATCTCTTTCTTATTTTTATATACTTAAGCTTCTATTTCTGTAGGGAAGATTTTTTAAAAGTGAAGTCCTAACCGATAGAGTATGTGATTTGTTTTTAACAATACTTTCAAATGCCCCCTAAAATTTTTATATCAATTATACTACTGCCAGGAATGTATGAAACAACTACTGTATGTGAATGTACCTATCTCCACAAGTGGCTAACATACCCTATTTTAAATGTCTCTCAAACTTTCACAAATAGGAAAAAAAGTACCATAAAATGTGAATTAAATTTGCATTTTTTATTGATTTGTAGGATAATAAGAATATTAAACTTTTGCTATATTTAGAAAATTTGCTATTTGTCACTTGTCTGTTGTAACCAAAATAATTTTTATGTCACCAAATCTTGCAATTTTTCTCCTTTAGTTTCTAGACTTTGTAAAAAATTGCTTAGGAAGACTTCCCCACCTTTAAGATTATAAGAAATATTCCCCCATGATGATATTTAGTAATAGTGTAATGTATATTTGAAATTTGCTGAGAGAACTTAAGTGTGCTTACCACATTCCAAAGAAAACAGGGTTACCTATGTGAGGTGATATACATATTGAGTGTGGTAACTAATCATAGATACATTAAACATCACATTGTACAACCGGTAAATATATACCATTTTTAGTATATATAAATAGGGACTCAATAAAATTGGGACTGAGGAAAAAATATTCGCCTTTATTTTCTTCTATTATTTTGTTAAGGGAGAAGTATTTATATTTGTGATTTATCTTTTAATGTACTATACATACATTAAATATATGCGCGTATACACACACACATATATATAATATATATACTATAGGGACCTAGCTTTACTTTCTTTAAAATTTAGCAAATTTTTCCAATATGGATTTACTGGATCTGTACTCGTCAATGTGAAACAGCCCTTTAAACATCGACAGTTTCTTCCTATTCTTTTGCTAATACAACAGAATCACTAACAATCAGGCATCTCCAGATTTACTTCCTATCTCCAACTTTTGGTAGTCTAAATATTACAAGTAACAATCTACTACAAAATATTTCAGTACCTGAAACAGCTTTTGTTTCTCTGGAACTTTATTTTGTAACTGTCTGCATGAAGCAGTACTTATGGTCCTCTGGGTAATCTGACGAAGAGCCTGAAATGAAAAATCCATATACACAAAACAGATTTAGGGATTAAAGAAATCTTCAAAGCTAACCATTTTCAATCTTCATTATTATTGAAGAGGAAAACTGAGAACTAAAACACATTTAATTTGCCAATAACCAAGTTATAAACCAGCATCCAGATTTTACAATTTGTTATCCATATACTGCTCTTTATGTCGATAGTCCAGTCTGTAGTTTCCAAACACAACATTCAAGAAACAATATAGGCAGTTTCCAAGTAAAAAAATTCATGATCTTTACCTGGATGGAAATCAGTAGCATTTCATTAGCATTGAGGAAAACATGATACATAGACAGTTCAAAAATAAGGATGGTTACAAAATACACTAAGCTCAAGTGTTTTCATTTCATATTCTATTATTACTAAAAGTCTATTACTTGACATCAGAATAAACTAGTGTGAATTCTATTTAATTATCATTTTTCCCTTGTAACAATTTTCCTTAAAAATCTTTGGTGAGAATAAGTCTTTTTAAAAAAAAACTTGCATCATACATCCAGTTGAAGGCAACAAATATGCACCCCTCTTTCTAAAATAAGCTGGTAAGCTAAGTAAAACTTTATTGATTACAAAAGAAAACGATCTTTAGTATATTTTCTTTTTCGCATTTTTTGGTAGATAATTCACATGCTCAAAGGCACCGAAGGAGTGAAGGACACTGCAGAACCGTTTGAAGCAAGCACTACACTTCAGTCGTGACCGCTCCTCAGCTTCAATGGAAATTTAATAACTTTTTTGCTTTTTAAATTGCTTTCTAATGCTCGCAACGCTCAGAACCATTGTATCTTAAGCCCTTCCAATAACAAAGGATCATCTTTCTCTCAAACTCTTCCTGGTATCAGAACTTCCACCTGAACCTTGGTTTTATTCACATCAGAGCTACTGACCTCATTAATGTCCCATAGAGTCACGGGTGGCGATTAAGGACCAAAGGCTTATCTAACCCACAACCCTCAGGTCACCTTCCCAACCACTCCACTCTCCACTGATACCCAGCGCAACCTGAGGCAAGAATGAATGGAAAGGAACGTCAGACCAACAGGCCGCGGACCAAGGTGACTTCTGACGCCTCCTTCTCGCTCCCTAATCCCCACCTCCTAGGCAAACCTTTTCTGTTGTGGCCCCTAAACCTTCAGTACCCTCACCCCACATCTCGAACGCAAACCGAGGAACTGCTCACCAGCAGATTTCGCAGCATCTTGGCTCAGTTACTGTCCACCAACCGCGCCAACTGAATGCCAGGAACTAAATTCTCCACGCCGGAACCGGAACTACCGTCTGGCCTCGCGCATGCGTCAGGGAACCTGAACGTTACCAGGCGGAGGGGGGGGGTTGTGCCCGTGACCACAGAGAAAGGCGAGCGGCCCGCGGCCTCTGGTCGCTCTAGCCAGTTGGGGGTTTCTCTTCCTGGCTCTCGTTCTTGACTTGTTTGATGCCATTCATACCTTTAGGCTCTGGGAGCTAAGGCTGGGGAAAAGCAAATTAAATTGGTGATCAGAGAGACCTGTTAGATCCTGTATTTATTCGTTTCGATGTTAACGGGACACCAGACTAGCATAGACAATTAGTGTGTTTTGAACGAGAAGGCGTGCAACTGAGTAACCTGTGAGCCATTGATTAGAAGCTGAAATAAAATTAAGCTGCGTAGCTGGGTGAAATACAGAACAAATGGAATAATTCTCATACGGATATAATCACATTTTTTTTCCAACGGAGAATCTGTTATGAGGGCGTTATTGTTCCTTGTGCTGAGAACATGCTGTAAAGAGCTGCTTCGGGGATACTGATTTTTATCTTGTGCCCGTGGATGCTGCAGAATTTCTCATTCGAAAAGCATTTCCACAGTCTCCCAAGATTGTGGAAGCTGTTCTCTCGTTTTCTGGGTCGGAGGACTCTGAAGACAGAGGGGAGGAGGAATTTAATTGAGGGACAAGAAATGGGACGAAAAATCTTAAGTCTTACTGTCTCTGGTCCAGCAAAGGCACAGATATGTTGTCGGCATATTTTGCATCAATCTTGCTTAGTAATGCCACATTACAAGTATCTTTATCCTCTGTGCTCACATGTGTGTTTAAACAAAATTATGAATCTTTTCACTTCATCAAACTCAGTGCTATTTCATTGTCATTTCAAAGAAAAAGCGGAGTATATATGGGTTCAGCATAGGTGAAATGTGTAGATAAAAACTAGTAACTAGAAATTTTTATCCCTTCTAATCTTTAGCTGGGGCAGATATTTTTAAAAAGTGAACTATCACTTGAACTTGTTTATGTTATATGTGCTCTTATTCAACATTTAGCCAACTAGATTGTAAGCTTCTCAAGAACAGAAATTAAGTGAATTGTTTTCAAAACAATTACGTGATGACCTCGATAGGGGGTAATCAGCTAACCAAATGATGAGTTAATCGTATATATAGTGACAGATGTACAACACTATGGCTCTCTCCAAAAAGAACTAGATTCACAATAGATCCCAAACTACATGCAGATGCTTATTTGCATGTTACTTAGTACAATTTTCCTCTTTACAGAATCACTCTATCACATTCAAATACATTTCTAAATGAGACCCAACATTTGATTCCAGTTACCATCCCATTTCTCTTCTTCAAAATAAAACAGATTTTTTTTTTAACTTCTTTCTTATCTTTTTATCCTGCCCTGGGTCCTCATCCTCTAACCTTTAAATTTCAGAGAACTTTTTTTCTACATTCATCCCACTTACAATTTCATCCAATTCCATGAATTACCAGTTTGCATGGGTGCCTCTCCAGTCTGACCTTTCCCTTTAACTCCAGACTTCTCAAAACTTATGTCCAAAACTAAATGCTACTTCTCATTCCTTACTTCCAATCCTTCTCTGCATTCCAAGATTCAAACTTTGATTTTTTTTTTTTCCTGTCATAACCTATTAACTAGTCCATTGGAAATTTCTACTGGCTACACTTTCAAAATATAATCTTAACCTGACCTCGCATTACCTCCACTCCTTTCAGGACCACCATTCAGGACCAAGTCTCCGGTACGTACCATGCTTGTATTATTGCAAAAGCCTTTACAATTGATATCCCTGCTTCGAAGGACTCTTCTGTTCAGTATCATCCACACAAAATGACTCTTTCAAGGACTTAAGTTAGAGACTCTGCTTTAAACTGTTTTGTTAATGCTGTATCCCAGCACCTAAAATAGTAACTAGCAAAAGGAAAATAGTCTAGTAAATATTGGTTAAATGAATAGCATATTATACAAAGGATGAACTTATTGAGTATAAAAATTCAAAGTCTTTCTTAATAGTCATTTTACTCCTTTCAAAGATTTTTTAATCCTGGGGCTCCTCATTGTCTCCCTGCTTTTGCTCTATAAGTTGTAATTATCCTGATAGAAAAAATTTGCCTGGGTACCTGGCAAATTTTTATTAGATATTCCCAGGCACATTTAAAATTTGTTACCAAATTTCTAAATTCAATCTCTGAAGTTAAATGATTTTCAAAATAGGTTCCTTTCCAAAGCATCAGTGTGAGATTCTTTGGGAATAGTACGTGGACAACATATACAGAGTAACAGGTATAGGAAAATGGTGAGGTGGACAGGACAGACACAAATTAAAAACAGTAAGACGCTCCTCTAGCCCCTTCTCAGATAAAAGGCTTCCAGTCAAATGTCTGGCTCCTTGACAGTTATTCTTTAATGCAGCTATTCTTTAAATTCTCAAATTTCTGTCTGCCCACAACAGTGCTTACCTGCCAACTACTTACTATTTGTCTAAGCTTTTTGTCATGAAAACGAATAAATAATTCACTCACTGGCATTTTTCAATAGCACTGTGCTATTCAAAGTGAAGCCTAACTTGTCAAGTTCTGCCCATGAACAAAAAACTTTCAATTAGAGTTTTGGAGTCTATTTAAATGAGATTGCCAAGAGCAGCCAGAAATACAAGGAAAACTGCCTAAAGAGAATATAAACTAAAATGAAAAACAGTTAAGAAAAATTGTTAAAATGATAGGAAAATCATGTGCATGTATGCACCCATACATATCCTCTGAAAAATATTTTAGCCATGAACTAAGATTAGCATACTTTAGAAACAAAACAAAGGGAGTCTTAGAATTTTTTTTTAACTTTAGATATATAAAAATTCAATAGGAATAGTTCTAAAAAGAACAGAGGTAATAACATCTAAGTAACTGGAAAAAAAAGAAGAAACAGTCTAAGAGGTTCAATATCTGACTTGGAGAAGATAAGATTTATCAAAAACACAATTAAAGATAGAAAAGACTGGAGCCTTCAAAAGTCTTGGGGGAAAATTTAAATTATATATGTAGTCAAACTATGAATGAAATGTGAGAGTGTAACAAAGACAGATTAGACATGTAAGGACCCAAAATTTGACTCACACTACTCCTTAGGAGTAGTGTTTTAGGTGTTTAAGTTTTTTAGGAAATGCTCTAGTAAACATGGAACAAATAGGAACCAGCAGGAGGATAGCAAGAGGAGTTGACAGGATAATGGCTACACAGCACATCAAGAGAACCACCAGCACAGATTGGCACAGGACAATTGGAGAAGAGCCCAGGGAATCAGCATTACCTGATAATTAGTAACAAAAACACTTCAAAACTAGTGATGATAGCATGGAGCACCTGACAAAGAAATAAATTATGTTTCTGAAAAGCTGGATGTTAAACATGAGCCGATTATTAATTTCAGGAAAAAAATAACACAAAGTGTAATCAAGGGCTATGATTTTCTACAGTTTATAATATTTTTATAGTCATAATGAAACAATAATACATTTATTAATTAGTATATATACAATGGGAGAAGGGGAGGTATGTGTGTTAGCTAAATCATTAGTTAACACTATCAAGAAAATAATGCCTAAAATTGCTCAATTGGGCAAAAGTAGAATAAGTATTATTTGAATACACTAAGACAAATACCAAAAGAAACAACTTTTGGAGTCAAAGTCAGGGTCTCTGAAAGGTAAAGACAAGTTGGCAAAAGAATGACTGTTATTCATCACAAAGTCTTTGATTTCTTTTTACTTTGATACATTTTATAGATATAGAAAAGCAAATGAGATCACCATGGTCTGGTTTTAGACATATTTATTAATTTGAAATTTCAAATTACATTAAGGGAAAAGTGATTTTGTTTGTTTACTGAATGGAACATGAGCTAAAACGAGCTCTAAAACACTTCACTGATCGTCCAAACTACCACAAATATTAATGCATCAAAATTCTTCTTGAAACAGCAACACTTCCTTACTCTCTTCTCCACACTCCCAAAATAAGCATGTTCATGAAGAACAAAATTTTATAGCTTAACCTACAAGTTCCATGAACCAATGCTAAGGCAGTTTCAAGATAGAAGTGTGCAGGCTGAACAGTTATTCATACCTCACAGCTGTTCCTTCTCTGGTTTTTCATTTCTTCAGGTTCTATTTACCAGACATTTCCCTTGATTTAATGCCACATATTTAACCAATCTGCCTATAACTCAGGTGACAATTTAGCCGCTTCCTTATAAGAATAGATGTTTCTCAGTATCATAAATAATTTTGCAGTTAGTATCCCCGAAGAGATCAACAAATCCATGTGGCAATCAAATACACGTGGCACCGTGGTGATCTTAAAATGCGAATTCAATGACTCTGGGCAAAATTTAGTGCTAAATATAAACAACACTGAAGTATTGTTATTTTAGCAAGACACCTAAACATAATTAATTTTGTTCATTTTTATTATACAGAGCATATTAACATAATTTTTAATATAATCAAAGTTACAAATAACTTATTAACCAATAAGCAAGTAATACACACTCGACTCTCCTCGTGGTTGAAAATTCTCTATTAGAAGTACAGTTATTTTTACCAATTCATTTTTAAACTGCCTTATGATTTCAATGAACTGTCTTAGCTTATTGAATAATTCCTCCAATTGGGAAACTTCATATATCAAAATACTTTCTGTAAGTTAATGCATTTTTCAATGCCTCCTACTTAACCTAGTTGTCTTTACAATAACATATGATTCTTTGAAAGTTGACTATGACAGCACTATTTCCAAAAGATGAACATAACTGAAGCCTGTAAAAAAGAAATGTCTTCCCTTCCCCTACATGCTTCCCAGAGGTAACGTGAATAGCCCCACTTTTTATTTAACAGGAACACTTTAGAGTTCAAATGGCAGAAAGTAGAAAGGAACGTAGCCCATCAATGTGCTTGTAAAATAAACAAGACTCCAGATTATTTCAAGATTCCATCCTCACCAAAGATAAGAAAGTGTTGGAATGGCTTTAGCAACACCATTAGTTGCCAAACTAAAAAAGAAGACAAAGGATAGCAGGTAGTCCTCCTGATCAGCACAAACTCAATCTGGGAAGACTAACAAAAAATCCTTTCCCCAGGTGACATATCCTAGAAAATAAACTGCCATGTGCAGGAGTGTCAATTAGCAAAATAAATAACAAAATTCTGAAGGACTAATAATACAATACAGAGAGTATTTTTAGGCAAAGAATATTCCATGCACTCAAAAATTTCAGGATAATTATACATTAAAGTATCTCATGCTAGTAATGCTAGTCTACCAGTTAAAAGGTATTAGAAACTACAAGTTCTTTTAATTGAACTTCATGTTATATAAAACTTAAGAAGCATGGCACATTTCTACTATTAACCATTACATATATTTTTTAAAAAAAGCATATAGTACTAATCAAAACTGATACATTACCCAGAACTTTTAATTTAAAATAAAACTGAAGTTTGAAACCATTACAAACTCTAAACAGGAAGTCTTCTATACAAACATGAGTTATTTAATTTTTTTTAAAAAGCAGGTTTTTTTAAAAAAAAAAGCAAGTTCAGTGAAATTAAGCCACCTCTGATTAAGACATACATTTTCATGCATGTGAAAAAAAAGTTCACATTCAAGAATAAGTTCCATAGCAAACAAATTACAGCACTTATTCAATAAGGAATATTAAAATAATTCCAGTTAATTGAAAATAACTTCAACCACATATATTGTAATTTATCATGTATATATTCTAAAATCTCCAGAATTTAATTTGGAAATTTAAAGAACTTTTAAAGGTATGTCTTATGAAAACCAACCATCACAACTGATGCCTTAACTAAGGAGAACGTACACACATATACGTATTTGATCTGTATGCAAAAACTGAATAAAATAGAGGAAAAGAAGGTTACTGTTTTCCAAAATTTCTGTGCTATATTAGTATCTAAGTAAAAAAAACCAAAAAACAAAAAACTCACCTGCAACATAAAAAACAGCTTGAGGTATTTCCAATGCTGAAGCAAATTTCTGAATGTTAAATACTACAAGAATAAAAACAATATCCTTTGAACATTTACATTATGTTTACAGTTAGGTAGAGGATCAAGGTCTGTCAAAAAGTTTTCCCATCTCACCTACATATGTTCATCCCTTAGAAAGTATAAATTTCCAGGGAAATGCCTGCCTGCATATCAAAACATACTAAGTGAGTTGAGGTTAACAGATGGAAAGAGAAATTTTAAATCCTCCTACCTGAGATCTATCTGACTTCTTCAGACATGACCATAAATTCCTATGCTAGACAAGGTAAGCATGTCCTTTGAAATAAAAGCTCAGTGTGACAAAGAACTGTACTGGATAAATAGAATACATGAACTACCTCAACATAGATAGTATTTTAAGCCTTTATACACGACACATGAAAATGATGAAGTGTTTTATTTAGATTTGGTCTTTCTTCATCTTTTTGTAACTTTGAATCCTGAAAGGTTAGTAAGTCATTATACATCTTGTAATCTCTTTCTTCACACAATTAGGCACACGTATACAGCATCATATGTCAATATAATATTATCAACACAGCATAAACATTTACAGCAGTGGACGCATTTCACATGAAAGAGACTCTATGAATCAACATGGCCTGTCCCAACATAAAAGCAAACATCAGAATGCCATTTCAGCAATTACAGTGTTGATATGATCGATAGAGCTAATTTGTTTTATACCCGTCATATATTTTCAAAAGTCATCCATAAGGAAGAAGCAATGAACACAACTGTCTTTTTTAAAAAGAAATTATGTGCCAACTTCAAAAATGACATACTAACCAGACATCGGCATTCAAAAAGCTAAGTTGAATAGGACTGGCCTTGATGCACATGCAGTAAATTTTTTCAGAATATAAAATTAAATGGTAATGTCAGCAGTATTACTACTGTTTCTGTATTTATGATTAATTACTAGCAGTACAACTCCCAGAAGGAAGGAGATGGATCCAATAGCGATGTAAGCAATTCCCAAAAATGGATTTTTTCCTCCCATCCATGAAATAGTGCTCAAGATCATCCGTTTTCTTCCATCAAATGAATGTACAGGGTAATCTGAAGAATGTATAGGAAGACTTTTCCATCTCTTATTATTGATTTTTATATACCACTTAAAAAGGTGACATTTAATTGCTTATGATTCATTGGCATAACTTTGATACACAGGACCCTAACTCAAATATCTAGATTGCAAAAAAATTACATAATAATTATCTTGAAGGACTGATTTAGCATATTAAAAGTTAACAGTAAAAGCCAATATATTTTTATAAGCAAAAACAATGAAATTTGAGAGTTATATTGTTTCCTAGGTATTTCTGCTCTAATTCCACAGGAGGGGCAAAAGGTCACAAGAAACATAATATGAGAAAATATGGCATATGAGCAGCAATGAAACCTGTAGAGGAAAAAGAGGTTGAAAGACTAGGAGAAAATGGATGAAGGGAGTGAAGGTTTCTGTGAGTACAAAGAGCAAGTGCAGTAAAAGTGTAATTACAGTAGAGAATATGACAGGGCTCTGAGCACATGGTGAAAAAGTGTGATACTAAAGTTTTAAATTGATGATTTGGAGCAATGATAAAACTCATGGTGAGATACACAAAACTGATAGTTAAAACAGAGAAGTAAAGGGTCAATTTTAGAGATTTAAGAAATGGGATACCACTACATAGGATGAGCTATCTACATGGACCAGTTCTAAGATTTTGGCAAGAGTTAGGAAAATATGACAGAACTAAGTCTCTATGGGAGAGATATACAACATTTTCAAAAGCACCTTTTGATCAAGTTTTGGGACCCATCTTTTCCCTCTAGTTTCTGCACCTGCCTTTACCCACAGATGGATTTTGATTCCAAATGGTAGACTCAGCTCTACTAATTTCTTAAATCAACTCTAACCTGAGGCTGGAATGCTTATAAGAGCTCTAGTCTAACACTCTGAGAGAGACATAGTATTAAATCACCCATGCTAGTGTCCTTCTGTATCCAACCCTAAGAAGTAGGTTTCTGCCTTAATTCTAGTATCTAGTTCCCACTTTACCCCAATTTTGATAATTAGCCCATGATGCTTTACAAGCTCAAATTTCAGGCTGGTCAATCTGCAATATACCCTTTCTCTGATATTAATAAGGTACAAATTCAAGGACTTATGGGTTAAGTCTCACTGCTATCACAGAGACAGCCTGAGTTCGATCCCCAGCCAGGGAGCTAACCTACATACAGTGTAGCTGACCACTCCTGTCTGGCCCACTGCTCCCCTTAGCAGTGTATTCCAATAAATCTGCCTGCTCTGCTCCCCACTCTGTCTCTGTTGAATCCTCTCACCCCCAGTTCTTCTATCCAATGAATAAATATATCTTAAAAAAAAGTACAAAGTAACCAAGAATCCAAAAGGTCCTTTATTTTTAATTTAGATTTATTAATTTAACTATTTGCTAATCTATTATAAAACTAGAACTATATAGGCAGCTCTTCTCCTACGACTGTCCACCTGTGACAATGAAGGTAGCTCTTTTTTTTTTTCTCCTTTTCCTAATAAACCCGTCCTTTCAGAATGTTAAAAAAAAAAAAAAAAAAAAAAAACCCAAACTATATACTTACTACTAATTTGGATTGTAAAAAAATCAAAAATGCAAAGATCATCAGCATTTAAAATGCTAATATTTGAGAAACTTTTCATCTATGATATAAATAAGCAGTGGGTTAGATTAAAAGATGTAAGAACTTTGTTGGACTGCATACAGACCAGGATGATGGTTGGACTACTTGAACAAACTAGTTATATATATGGTTAATAGTGGCTGATGATAAATTTAATCACAGCTTTTGGAGTTAATGGCCTGGTTATGAACCCTTAATCTTCCATTTATTACCTGTGTTCAGAACCTCCAGTAAGTTACTTAAATGCTTTGTATCTTCCTGCATTCTTGTCTGTTACATAAAGATTATATCTACCTGATAATGCTTGAATGAAAGAAAGTACTTAGTACAATGTTGACATATAAACAGGATGAAAAAAATGACAGGAATCAGCACAAAAAAGTACACCTAAATAATTAATGTGGAAAAGTACAGGTAATGATAGAAATGTTTTGATACTATAAAGAGAACAATAATTATATACAATCATGATAATGTGAACTAACACATCTGCTTATTTATAATATTTAAAAATATTTATGTTGAAACAGCTCAGTATCAGCAACATTTACTTAGTATTAGGTATACTCACTGGCCTTTGTATTAAATTCAATCACAATCTTAGTAATAAAACAAGCACCTACATTTAAAGTAATTTTACCAAGAAATATGTTTGAAACCCTAGTACAAGGTATAAAAATTGAAGACATTTCTAGAAGATATAAATTATCTTTCTGACACATATACTCAAAAAACACAGATCAAAACTAAAACACAAAGGTTGGATTATACTTGGGTTCAAATTCTATGAATATGCACGTAACCAAAAAAAGGATACTGTATGTGATATTCAAATAGTATCGTCCGGCTGGTAATGTTGGATGTAAACTACTTTTCTGCTCTATAAGACGATATAACTTACGAAAAGTAGGTAGTGCTGCAGTACGCATCCAAACAATAAAATCCTCATTTATGAACCCATTATTATCTGGGTCAGAATCCAGCATGTATACTGGTTTAACCCAGTTTACAGGCTTTGTTGTACCTTGAGAGGAAAAAAAGGGACGGGGTTAGAGAAATTATTCAATTCTAATAAGTTTCACTGAAAGTTAATTAAAACAAAGATATGCAACATATAATCTGAATATATTTATTTTCAAACATAAAAATACAGTTATATAAGTTTTAAAACCTAGAGAGAAATTAATTCTTCATATAACAACTTAACAAATAATGACAACAATCAGATATTTCAAGTAAGAGAAACTAAAAGTAACTTATTAAGCATATACCAAAGGCAGATTACTTCATACAACGATATAATGATACAAAATATTACATTATGAATGAAGGCAACACAGAAACAAAGTTTGATTTAAAACTATGAAAAATAGGGGACTCCCTATTGGCACAAGGGGTTAAGACACAACCTATGAAGCTATCCGCAGACACTGAGTTCGATCCCCAGCCAGGGAGCTACCCACATGTCGCAGCAAACCTCTCCTGACTTGCCGGCTGCTCCCCTCAGCAGTGTACTTTGGTCAATCTGCCTGCTCTCTTCCCCAATCTTGTCTCTGGTGAATCCTCTCACCCCCACACCTCTGGCCTGTACCCCAGTTCTTGAATGCATAAATAAATAAATCTTTAAAAAAAAGAAATTAAAGATTAAAAGTATAAAATAATTTCCTTTAGAATTTCAGTATACACATATTTTACCTAACTTGACATTAAAAAAAGTTTTTTAAAAAGGAGAAACTTGGGACCTCCCTGGTGGGTCAAGGGGTTAAGTCTCAGCACCATGAAGCTATTGGCAGCCACTGAAGCATGAGTTTGATACCCAGCCAAGGAGCTAACCCACATGGCACAGCAGACCTTTCCTGTCTTGCTTGCTGCTCCCGTCAGCAGTACTTTTCATTCACTCTACCTGCTCTGTCCCCTCTCTGTCTCTGGTAAATCCTCTCACCATACCTCTGCCCTGCTCCCCACTCTGTCTCTGGTGAAGCCCCTTCCCCATACTTCTGACCTACACTCCAGGTCTTGCATGCATAAATAAATCTTTTAAAAATATATTAAAAACAAATAAAAAGCAGAAACTTTTTTAAGATTCTAAAGTAGAAAATTTAAAGGTAATTCATTAAAATTCCTAGGTTATATCAATTTTTAAAGAGATATTATATTTTACCTTTGAATCGTTCTTGCAGGCTTTCTGTTCCAGCGGGGTTTCGGAATTTCACATTTTTATCTGTCCACCAAGCAATACCTTTCTTTTTCAAAGGAACCGGCACAGGGTCAGATTCATTGCTAACCAGAAATAATTCTAATGTATCTAAATAAAAGAAAGATATTGCTAAATATCTACTGAAAGTGCATAATACTTGTTTTACTTCACATATGGGGATCTTTTATATAAGGACCTGCTACTTGCTCCCAAAAGTGGTTTTGACAGAGTACGCTTATGACATACATTTGCTCTTGACTATTTACATGTAAATTAACTATGCTAATTTAACAATCCTAGATGAGTATTTCACCTCTCAGTATAGTTTCAGGTTGTCTTCCTATGCAGCCAGCTGGTATATGATAAAGTCAGATGTTTTAATATTAATTCAAATAAAATAATTTTCAAGATAGTCCTGTCCTTTCAATAATGTATTACTAGACACACATGGTATAAAGTCCTTGAAAATTAAGACTGGTCCAAATAAATATGTCTTGGAAGAGTGTGTGTGTGTGTGTGTGTGTGTGTGTGTGTATACTACATATGTCAGATAAAAAAGATTTAGTACAAAAAAAAAATACAAAATAGCTCATTAAATATTTTATACTGTTATATGTTAAAATCATATTCTGGGCATACTGAGTTAAATTAAAAAATGTTCTTAGAATCAATTTCACTTCTTTCTTTTGTTGCTTTTAGTGTGACTACTAAAAATCTTAAAATTATATTCATGGTTCACCTTACATTTTTATCACACAGTACTGCTCTAAATGATCAACTACAGTTCCCTTATAATGGCATAAATATTCAAAAGTTAGCAGGAAAGGCGTGTATTTTATCAAAAATGAACCAGGAAGATTAACAGAATGTCTGTTTCTTTCCTCCCAGAGACAGAAATTTACTTTTAAAAAATAGGGCTCAGGGCCTCCCCTGTGGCGCAGCAGTTGAGCATTGGTCTGCGAAGCTGCCTGCAGCCTCTGTAGCGCCGGTTTGATCGCCGGCCACCAGCAAGGGTCCCACATGGCATGCCTGCCACGCCTGCTGCTCCCCTCAGCAGTGTACTTCGTCAGTCTGCCTGTTCTGTTCCCCACTCTGGCTCTGGTGAATTCTCTCACCCTCCTGTGCTTCTGACTATACCCAGTGCTTGTATAAATAAATAATAAAAATAAATAAATCTTTAAAAAATAAATAAATAAAATATGGGGCTCAAAAGAAAGTCACAAAGTATTATAATACCTAATAACAACAGATACACATTTATCATAGTTACTGAATTTTTCAATTTTATTTATATTTGCTATCAAATCTGTAATAATTTTCCCAATTATATATGTCTATATGTATATTTATGTTTATATCATACCATTAAACATGCTGTTGGCAATAGCTCCACAAGGAGCAATTGGTTTGTCTTCATTTTTTCGATAAGGCTCACATTCCTTGCTGGGATTCTGTATTTCAGAAGGAAAGGAGAGAAATTGTCACTCAGGTCTCTGGGAGAAAGGTCTCTGTGAGAGAGATCATATGACCTGAAAAACCAAAATTATTTCACTATCTGGCCCTTTACCCCCCAAAAATTATCAATCCTTAGTCTAGACTACAAGCTTTGTTTAGTTTGTAATAATTAATCAATTTCAGTCTTTTTCCCCCTGGTGAAGAGAACCTGTATCCAAATAAAAGAACTGTAAATCAAACACCTCTTCTTAGTCTTTGAACACACCAAATCTATAATCCCAATCCAGGAACTTGTGTGTCTCATAGACATCACCTTCTCTGGATTCAAGTTGTAAAATTTGGAACCATAAGAGTAAATTCCATATGGATTGTAAAATATTGTAGCCCTAACCAGAACCTTTAAATAGACTTGGTATTTCTTAAGATCCCAAACATGAGGAACTAGCAATAAAAACAATAAGGATAACCTAGGGCAGCTGTATGTAGGTTTACAAGGATAATGCTGGTCACAATATAGTCTTAAATTGCATCCAAAGAGAGTCACTATTTCTAAGAGATCCTAAATTGCTCTGGGACCCTGAAGGTTTGCCCCACTGACAACAATAACATAATACACTTAGGCACCAACTGCTACTATCGAAAATTGAGCAACAGTAGTATACACACATCCTAGTTCACAGGTTCTCAAATCCAGCTGGGCAATCAGAAGGGATGCTTGTTAAAAAAGATACTCTAGCACTTCACTCCTGCAGACACTGACAAATTAGACTCAAGAGGCACCTATATTTTCAAAAAGCTCTTCAGATAGTTTTTCATTAACCTACCATTTGGATTTTACTGCACAGGCTTCATACAAGTTAAAAAATGGAGAGTATCCATGCTCCATTTTAAAACACAATCTAAGAAATTAAAAGTAGTTTATTTATATTTATTTACCTAGTATAATAATGAACCCCAACAGAAAAAAATTACATTCCCAAAATATTAGATTCAACAAAATTCCACAAATAAAGCAAAATCCCAATATTACTATAAATAAGCAAGTAGAAATGTGTCCTCTGGCTGTAAGAAATCATTACTCTGTGCAAATTCCAGTAAATAAAACTATAATTAATTAAAAACCCTAACCAAACAAACTATGAGTGGTTTCAGTTGGTCCTAACATTATTAAATTTAACATTCATAACTGAAAAATTACATGTTCTTATTTCATGGATACTGTATTTTCATATTCTATCATTCTACTCACAAGTAAAGCACTTGAATCTCCATTTAGTTGACTATCATCTCGAGATTTCACATATCGACGATGGTTTTGATAGAAATTAGACAGTCCATAATACATAAACACATTGCCCTATAAAAACAGGAAGGGAAAAAATGTCATATAAAATTACTCAGTATAAACTTGTTTCATACATCCATAAAAACTTTATTATTTGGGTTTTAAGGTTAGTGATAACTTAATACAAGTAGTTGGGTAAATACTACCAGTACTTAGCAATCTAAAATGGTACAAATTGTAAATAAAGTTAAAGAATGTTACAAAAATCCAAGAGTAAATTTTGAGAATATCCCTAAAGACTTTAAAGATATACTATTTACATTTATTGAAACAAAAAAAATCTCAAGGATTCCATTAGCCTACTCTGATCTATTTTCATCTTAAAATTTTCTCTAGTTCAGAATGCTCTTTATCCAATTAGCATCAACTTTTCAAAAAGATAATGCTCAAACTTTCATTTTTTATACAAGTAAAATCTGAACTTGAAGTGGGACATAAATTTCTCAACAGGATACTATGTAATATTAGTAATGAATAAGTAATTTAGGAAAGTATCTACAGTAATGAGTCACTTTATAATAATCACAAAAAAATACTTCAATATATACAGTGATATCAACTTGCAAATAACTGGTGAAAGGGATCCTTCAATGAATTGAGACAATATAACTTAAAAAGTCCTCTGAAAAGACTTTAGTTCAATTTAAACCTTGGGTTTGCAAAGTAACACAGAGCTCACAAGAGAAAAAAATCTGATGAACACCTTTGCAGAAAAGAAGTTTTGAAATATGTGTTTTTGAATGGGAGAGGAAACTAATAGAGCTTCTAAATTACTGAAAGTCTCTTTAATTTAACACTGCTTTGAAAAAAAAGCAGATTAATGCAGCTTTACAATTTGTCATCACATTGAAGAATGGAATTTTTATGCTTTGAATTTGTATACTATTTTTGCTGAAATGAAGTAATATAATTAAAATGCTGTCTTCTCCCCAATTTGTTTTCATATTTTTTCAAAGGCAGGACTTTTGTCCTTTATTTTGTTGCAAAAGTATCTACAACCACTAGATGGCAACCCTCGAATTTATTATAACATGCACTTCAAATATCAACACTACCATTAGGAAATCTAGAGTGTAGAATAATGCAAAAAGCTGGTATTTATCAAAACAGGTTTGTTCCCTAAGGGAAAAAAAAAATTAAGCTGAGTCTTCAGGGCACAAAATGGGGTTTTGCCATGCCTATTCTCAACCTTTATGTCTTTTAATATCTGCACAGTTACCAAGAACAGCTGGTAAGTGTGAATGAAAAAGACACACGAACACATACACAGAGTCTAACTACTAATTACAATATAAAAGATTAATAAGATTTCATTTAGTGTTTTATGTTTGGGAATGTTTCATATCTGATAGAAAAACAATACAGTAAAATGATAGAATTAGTTGTTATATTTTAAAATACAACCTGTTTCAGTGTTCAAAGAAGGCAAAACAATTTGAGCAATAATTTTTTAAAATGCAAGTATCTGTTGATACAAACTTGATGAAAAATTACTCATACAGTTATAAAATTTCTCAGTGGAAGAATAAAATACATTTTAATTTTTTTTTTTGGAAACTACCAAACTATTTAAATGCATCTACTTATTTACCAGACAGCAAAATACAACTAAACACATAAAAGCATGGCTTTCTAATAAAATACTTGGGAATACAGACCTCAAATGACTGTTCCAACGTGAAGTTAATGGTACAAAAGCAGGGTGTTATATTCAGAGACAAACATTTATTGCAGGGACTGGAAGGATCTGTTCCGGTGTAATCAATCTGCAAGAGAAAAATACAGAAAATTTACCTTGGAGAAAGTGAATATACACTGAAAAAAAAGCTATTAAAAAGAAAAATGAGTCCAACCTTTATTCCAGTGAACAAATCTATAGGCCAGAAAATTGTATTTAAGTTCATCTATTTGACATGTCATCTACTGACAGTGTAAGGTAGTAAAACTGAAATAGGTGGTTGTTCTACTGATCATCTTTCCAAGTAAGTTCCTCTCTCCTTTTTACCAAAAGAAATACATTTGTGGATAAAAATCATAAATATAAAATTCAAACTGTACGTGCAAATATTTAAACAGGTATAAAGTCTAAATGATTAAAATACCAATTAGTACAGAGATGAGTAATCAGTTACTGCCTATAAATCTCCCAATCTTAAGTATTTTTTGGTTGGCTCAATTTTCTATGATACATTCTCTAATAAAAAAGTAGGTCCCTCAAGGGTTACCATATTTTTTAAAACCTGGTTTTGTATAATAAAGAATTTGTCTTCTCTTTGTCCAGGGTTCTTGGCAGGGAGCTTCTAAAACCTTAGAATTTCCAAAATTACAGTATTATCTTTGCTTTTGACAAGCTACTTGATTCACATCAGTTGGCTGAAAATGGAGAGGGCTGCTCATCAGAAAGACAAATTTGATTAGGATCTTCCAACCTCTAGGGAAAGGAGGAAGGTTGGAAAGTTAGTTTAATCCCATGGCCAATGTTTAGTCTATCATTAAATCCCCAGAAAAACTCTAGAGACAAAAGGACAGGGGCACTTCCTGGCTGGTTAACCCATCCAAGTGCCTGGGGAGTTATGTGTCCTGATTCTACAAAAAGACAGCATCAAACTCTAGTTTCAGGATTCTCCTAGACCTTCACCTGTATCACTAGTAGCATATCACTTATAATGAAGTTATTCATAAGAATAGCACAAAAGGCATCTTGGTTTTTCCCAAGGTTGGGCAATTATGAAGAAAACTGATATAAACAACCACATACAGGTTTTAGTGTGGGCGTAAATTTTCAGCCTATTCGGACAGAATCCAAGGAGTAGGAGTGCTGAATTGCATGGTAAGAGTACATCTAGTTTTGTAAGAAATTGCCAAACCATCTTCCAAAGTGGTTGTTCCACTTTGCATGCCTATCAACAATGAAAAAGTTCCAGCTGCTCCACATCCTTGCCTTCGTTTGGTGTCAGTAAATTGGATTTTTGGCATTCTAATAGGTATGTAGTAGTGTGTCACTGTTGTTTTAACTTGCAATTCCCTAGTGAATTTCATGTACTTATTTTCATATACTTACTTGACATCTCTATGTTATGGGCTGAATGTACTCCACCATTACTGCCCCTCAATTCACATGGTGAAGTCCTGATTCCCTATGTGATGGTATTTGAGAGGTGGGTCCATTTGAAGATGATTCAGTTTAAACGAGGTCGTGAAGGTAAGTACCCCAGGATGAGGTTAATGTCTTTAGGAAAAAAAGAGAAACCAGAGCTCTCTGTCATGTGAGGACTAAGAAGGGGATCATCCGCAGGCCAAGAAGAGGGTTCTCATCAGGAACTGAATCTGCCAGCACCTCGATCTTGGACTTAGTAGGCGCCAAAACTATGAGCAGTTGTTTAAGCCACCCACTGTGTGTGTGTTTTTATAGAAGTCTGAACAGAGATTTTGGTACCAAAATGAGGTGCTGCTGTGACAAATATCTAAAAAGATAATAGAAGTGGCTTTGGAACTGGGTAATGGGTACCAACTGGAGGTTTGAAAGGCATGTTAAAAACATAGGCATTAAGGATGATTATAAATGAGCATTCAGAAAAAGAAGAGGCAAGTTAAGAGAGAAAGCTCTCACAAATAATCATGAACAGAGTATCTGTAATTTATGGATGGTATAGGGCCATTGTAGTAATATCTCAGATGGAAAGAGGGAATGTTTATTGGACAATGGAAAGAAGGTGACCTTGTTACAAAGTGACCAAGTATTTGGTTCAACTGTGTTATAGTGTTTTGTGAAGACAGAATTGTTGAGGAAAGAAATCATGTTGAGTTTTCTGAAAGTTATGAAGTGGCTTGGTTCCATTTGACTGCTTGTAGTAAAATGCAAGAAGAGAGAAATAACTGGAAGGAATTGTTAAGCAAAATGCACCCAAAACTTAAAAGACATGGAAAATTCTCAAGTCTCATATTGCAAAAATAAGGGAAAAATTGTTCTGAAAAAAATATTGAGTGTGTAGCTGAACATACATTTGACTGACATTAGTATGGGTATGAACCATAGATTTAAATCAGCCACAGCAGCAGAAACACTGCCAGTCCAAGAAGGCTGTACAAATTCTTAGATCTTACAGAACTGAACCAGAGTCATTCAACTGCGAAAGTGTAATGTTCTTCAAAACAAGGTAAGAACGACCCCAAAGATGATTCAGAGACCCCCCCAAGGTCATACCTTCAGTTTCAATGAGGAGAGGGGATGTTCAAAAGGCCAGATGGCAACAGCCCAGAGCCTTGGAAGAACAACCACAATTTTTAGCAGTGGCCAGTAATCTGTGGTGTTCTTTGCTTGCAGCTGCATTACTCCATCTCTGCTTGTACTGTTACATAATTCTCCCTTTCTCAGTCTTTATATCATCTTTCCTCAGTGTAAGTCTGTCTCTTGCACATCAGTTAGACCAAATAGGGGCAGATGCTAATGACCTTATCTTGATTATATTTGTATGAATGTTTCCAAACAAAGTCACATTTACAGGTACCGCAAGTTAGGGTTATAATACATCTTTTGGAGGGACAGAATTCAGTTTGCCAATTAAATGACAGAATTATATCTATCTAGCTCCAGAGTTGCTGTTCTTCTCACTAGACTACACTGCCACTTCCCATAATCTTGAATAAGACCCATCAAAGGGTAACTAAGAAATATGGAAGTTAATTTAATAGACATTTTAAAATAAAATTGATGTCAATCATTAGTTGATGTTTAAACAGAACTTCCAAATCTTCATATTTTTCATCTAAAATGAAGATTAAAAACAACTTTGTTATGACAGCAGGTGCCATCCCAGGACCATCTTAACTACTAAGAAATATAAATTATTTTAATGAAATATAATTTTAATACAAATTTTCATAACAAAGATTTTATAGCTGGCATTTAATTTCCATGAACAAAAAATTCAATTCCAACATGAAGTTTTAGCTTACCCCTCAAGGGGTAAGAAAAAAAGTCCTACTAATGTGTCAGGTCATAAAAACTGCCTAGGACAGAAATGATGAAAAGAGCTCTGCTGAATAAGTTCCAACCTATATGATAGGGTGGATTAAAGAAAAGACAATTAAATGAATAAAGCATATTATATGCACAAAGACTACTTTCAGGAAATACATGATCTTCACCAAATAAAACACTGTTTTCATAGTCATAAAACTGATATTCAAATATTAGTGACTCTTACCTTTGTCTCCAGTGTTACCCTCCTGACAATAACCTCAGGCTGCCTTATGTCATATGTCGTCCATTACACTACCCTCTCTAAGCTATCACTGCTCTTATCTCCAACCCCAGTCCCATTTTTATATTCCTAGATATATTTGGGTTTCTTCCTTCCCACTTGAAACTCTTACCATCAATAATTCATATACATGGTGACCTTTGAAAATTTAAGATACACAAGTTTATTAGTTTTTTTGGTTATGTTTCACTGAGAACTTGACTTTTAAGAAAATCTATAGTGGGCCTCCCCTGGTGGCGCAGCGGTTGAGCACTGGACTGCGAAGCTGCCCGCAGCCTCTGCAGCACGGGTTGGATCCCTGGCCGCCTTGAGGGTCCCACGTGGTGCAACAGACCTCTCCTCCCACGCCCGCTGCTCCCCTCAGCAGTGTGTTTCATCAGCCTGCCTGTTCTGTTCCCTGCTCTGGCTCTGGTGAATTCTCTCACCCTCCCACGCCTCTGACTGTACCCAGTGCTTGTATAAATAAATGAATAAATCTTTAAAAAAAATTTAAAAAATAAAAATAAAATTAAAAAAATCCATAGTGATAGTTTAGTTACCTTACCCTTATACCCAGCTGTGGTCTTTTGATTAATACCTATATTGGGTACTACCATTTATCTTAGGAAGAAAGAGGTTACCAGGTGGGAGAGGAACTACAGTTACTTTATTTTAAAATTTAATGCTTATTAAATGTCAAAAGCATACAAAGCACAGTTTAGAAATACAATAAGCTTAAATACAAAACACAGAAAACCAGAGGTGAAATAGAACAGATATAGATAAGTAGATTAGTTTAAAAATTATCACAGCAGCTTTGTTTTGCTACCACTGCAATTGTTCTCCTAAATCAAACTGGCATTTCTTCTTAGTATTTCTAAAAATAAATCCTTATCCCAAGTAACAAACTGAATTTAATGCAGTGGGAAAGGAGGAATTTGAAGGACATGCAATTTTTACACTGTCTAAGGGGACTGGAAAACTTCCATTTTTGAATGTAAATCTGTCTTAAAGGAAATCAATATGAGATCTACACAGGTCACTCAAAAAAAATGCTGAGTAATAAGGTAAATCATTTTAAGTAGTTAACAGATTAAGTTTTTTTTTTAAAAGGCATCTTAAGTACTCCTTTGAGCTAATCATTCCACATGAAGGAATTATCTGGAATCCTATTCTAGACAGCTCCAAAAGGTAACCAAAGTAAAAGTTTCAAAAGCAGTTTTTGTTAAGTTGCTTGAACTTTATCTGACTGAGACAATGAAGAATGTTACCTGAGCCAAGATAAATGGTAAACTTAACTAAAGTATTTGAAATCTATTAAATTTGTACAAAGAAGGTAGAACACAAATAATTATCTGGGATCATTATACCTATACCTTGAAAGACTGTTGAGGATTAGAATGTATAAATTGAACACTGGGATCATTATACCTATACCTTGAAAGACTGTTGAGGATTAGAATGTATAAATTGAACACAAGTATTTTGGTAACAAATGCTAAATTAGCCAGCATATTTCTTTAAAACTCTAACTCAAGTGCAGGAAATTCTTCTCTTAAAAGGGTCAGAAAGTAAATATTTTAGGTTTTGCAAACCAAGAGGCAAGGTCAATGATATTATGTAAGTTCTTACATAACTAGAAAAAAGCAAAGTTGCACAAATCTTTATTGATAAAATTCAAAATATAATAATAGGAACCATGTACAAATTTCCTGGCATTACCGGTCTACTAATGAAAAGAACGGAATTTTTTTTGAGGGGGGGTTACATTTTGCATAATTGGGGTTCAGAGTTAGCATTCCTGATCAACAAATCAATGTTGCAAATATTCATCTGTAAAGCCTGGATTTTACGGAACAAACAAAAAAGTTTGTCTGGACATACTTATATTGTCATTCCTTGCTCTAAAACTAAAGTTCTTTGAGAAAAGAATTAGAACACTAACACCACAAACCTCTTAATTTCCAAGGGTCACCTTCTAAGGGGAGAAATTAATTTGAGTATTAAAATATTTAAACTGGGACTCCCTGGTGGCACAAGGGGTTAAGTCTCAGCACTATGAAGCTATCTGCAGCCACAGCACCACGAGTTAGATCCCCGGCCAAGGAGGTGACCCACATGGCACAGCAGACCTCTCCTAACTCACCCTGCTGCTCCCCTCAGCAGTGTTCTTCAGTAGATCTGCCTGTTCTGTTCCCCACCCTGTCTCTGGTGAATTTTCTCACCCCCCACACTTCTGGCCTGTATCCCAGTTCTCGTTTGCATAAATAAATCAATCTTAAAAAAAAAATTTAAACTTCTTAACATAAAGTGCATAATCTTTAAAAGCCATTTCTATAAAGCAACTTATTCTTCCCTGATTCATAGCTGCAGTCTAACAAAGAATACTAAAAGCAAAAAAGAAACAATATTTTTAAAAATCTTAGAATCTATGACTCCAAGTTACCCAGGAGTTAAAAACAACAGCTGAAAATACATGCATCCACATATACTTATCAGAAACTAGAGAAACAGAAAATAAACTAAGACTAAATATTTGAGGGTGGCAAATGAAATACTGTGAAGAGGAGAGTTTGGATTTCTCTATCAAATATTGAGGGGAAAGGCAGATACTAATCCACTAAAATTTAAGGAAAAATTATCTTGAAGACTTTTGACAATATTAATTAGAAGTAAGCGTAGTTTCTTAATTTACTCTGAATATTTACTTAACGATATCCTTATCCAACTCTATTAATTTAAAACTAATTTCACACTGACAAAAACCTTTGCAAAAGTTAAGTATACCTCACTATCTTTTTCTAATTAGCTCTATTCAATTAATATCTTAGTCTCACCAAAAGGAGCCCTAGATTAGAATATTACATTTGTGGTACAAAGTTTTGTCTGCCTCCTACACTTGCCAAATTAAAGGAAATATTCATTCCTTGCTCCTAATACTAAGTGAAGATATTAAACGTTATTGGTAAAGAAGATACTAAATATTTAAAGTTTTTCCTATGAAGAATAAAATTAGTAACTATAGTTTTCTTATAACTTCATTTTATTAGATTACAGAAAAATCTAAAAGCCAATTAAATAAAATAGATTATCCTAACTGGGGAGGAAGGTAAATACAGCAAAATATATAAGCATTAAATGTAAAAATATATTCAAAGTAATTTTTTAATATAACTCTACTAGGAGAAGGGTAAATATCCGATGATTATTATACTTTGAAAGTCTGAATTTCTGATCTTAGCACTTTAAGTTATATTACAAAAGCATTCTGATTGACTTTTCCTTTGCCCTAATAATTTGACTTAATATAGTAAAGGACGTTCTTAAAATTTTCAAAATTAAGAAAATAAACTAAAGAGGTATGAGGAACGGTAGTACAGAAATGAATACTTGCAAGAATTTCTAGTTAACCGTTTACATTTAATAACCTTCAACATATTTGCATATAAAAGTGGCTAACCAATGTACATGGAGAGCAGACTGAAGAAGGAAACAAGCATGTGTGCTTTGGGAAAGTTCCCTAAGTATTTTCTAAGATCTCCAGACCCAACTTTGAACCAATTCTGCACATATTTAAAACCAATTTATTTTAACTGACACTATTTGCATGCTACATATCAGTGTTTGTACAAAATTCCTTATCATTTCAATGACACAGAAGTTGGAAGTCACACAATTTTAGAGTTGAACAGCATTTCGGGGGTCATCTAATCTAAATCTTTTGGTTCTACAAGTAAAAAACCGAGACTCAAAAATAGGTCTAAGATCAAAAATTAGAGAGTTACAGAGTTGGGATTTCACCTCCAATGACTGTGCATTGACCCTTAATTTCACTGCCCTTTTAGTAAGACCAAGCGACAAGGAACATTTCAGGCTACTTGAATCAAAATTCTATACATGAGGACTACTTAAGAAATTTCCATTTCAGCAACTATTTAAAGAAAATTATTTTATTTCAGATGCCAGAAGTTTTAAAGAAAGTAAATATTTTCACAGTATAGTAAATATGAACAAAAATTCAGCTCTGACAATTTAGTCGGTATCCATAGTCAGTATCCATAATATAAAATTCCAAATAATCTCTATTTTCCTTTTAGTAGTCTCAGAAGATTAAATAAGATAATCAGGGCCTCCCTGGTGGCGCAAGGGGCTGAGACGCAACCTATGAAGCTATCTGCAGCCACTGCAGCACAAGTTCAATCCCCAGCCGGGGAACTACCCACATGGCGCAGCAGACCTCTCCTGAGTTGCCTGCTGCTCCCCTCAGCAGTGTATTCAGTGTATTTTCAGTGTATTTCGGTCTCTGGTGAATCCTCTCATCCCCAAAACCTCTGGCCTGCACCCCGGTTCTTGTATGCATAAATAAATAAATCTTTAAAAAAAAAAAAGAAAATCAAATGTCTAATGTTTAATCACTTTCTTTTACTTAATTACATTGCAATAAGATCCTAGTGTAGTGTGAAAACTTCAAGCTGGGAATCGACATCTAGATTTCTGTCTCAATTTTATACTAGCTTAATATTAAATATAAATCTTCCTAACTCCATTTCTCATTTCTTGATTAAGGATCATCATAATAATTGCAACTTATTATTATACAGACTCAGTGCCAGGAATTTTATGGATATTGACACATTTTACAAGATTGGCATATTTACCTATTTCACAAGTGAGGAAATTGAGCTCAGAAGATTGATGTTTCAAAAAAAGTGAGCTAGTTAATGGCTGAGCTGGAATTTAAGCCCCATACCAAAGCCCATGGTCCTAGAATTAAGCACTTTGGTCACATTCTGCTGTGTGTGACCTAGTGTGATTAGGACAGCATCTGCAGGACTATAAAAGGGAAATAAAAAACGATAAAACAGGCTGAAAAAATACATTATGACACAGTCTCTAGTTATTTAACTGAAAACAAATTTTAGTTAAAAATTTTTGAAACTATGCTAGAAGTGCTATTCTTGCTGCTCTTATTAATGTAGAAGTAAGCAGTGTACAATTTTAAAAAAATATATTTTGCTTTTAGAGGCAACATAAGTTAAACTAGAAAATATGGATCTTTATACCTACTCAAGTATTTGAAATAAAATTACTCTAAAATTCCCATTAAATCACATGCATAATTTAAAAGTATTTAATGAAATTACAGGGGAGAGAAATGACATGCAATATAATGGAAGAAATCAAGAGACTTAGGTACCTGTTCCTGCCCATACGCTCAAATACGGGGGTAAGTGTGTGTGTGTGTGTGGGGGGGAGATGAGCAGGTGTTTAATACAGGAATCTATACAAAACACTGTATTCTAGTATCAACTATCTTCACCACTGCTGATGGAAGACACTATGATTGCTACTTTAACAGAAGTTAGAAATTAAGATGCTTCCCCAAGTTTCTCTCTCATACCTTAACTCAATAACATGTTCAGTAGACAAAGCAGAACTTATTCTTTAGAGTGACTGACAACTTTTTACTTTAAAAGAAGAAAAATACAGGGCGAATGTGGAGCACACACAGTTATTAATAAAACGCGACTTAAAAGCAAAACCAGAACTGAAGTTTCAGGTTACGGTTTATCTGTACCATGGTCTACAACAAAAACACCTACTAGCTCCAAATAAAAAGGTACTGCACACATTTCGGTCATATATTCGAATGTGATCTTTTTGAATAAAAATCGTCAATACCTCTGACTCTGGGATCTCTCCCCAACAATGGCCAAGGTGTTCATCTCTGTGTCTGTCCTGGAATAATCCTTACACAGGTAAGTGCACTCTCACCATGTCAATTCTCCCGGAGATACATCTAAATATAACTTTTTTTCCAGTCCTATTTTGTAAACCTCCGTTGGAGGCAAAAACCCTCCACGGAACCACACAAACGCCCCTTTACAGGGGCGTTCTTCATCTAACCCACCTTCTGCGTTGAGCATTCATTCCGTCTCTAACGTGTAAAACAGTGAGCGAGAGAAGTTCTGACAAAACTGCAAGTTCAAGAAGTCCACAGAAAAAGAGAAGACTGAGGAAAAGCGAAAGGGCTGGGAGTGGGGGGAGGAGATTGGGGGTGAGTTATGGGGGGGAGGGCGGGGCCCGCCTGTCCACCTCCAGGAAGCTGAGGATGGGCTGGGGCCAGAGGGAGGACCCCGCTCCCCAGAAGAGCCAACCCCACCTGCCACTCCCTCCCCTCACCTCGATCTCTCGGATGTTGTTGGAGGTGACGAAGATGCCGATGCCAATGGGGATGAATATGAGGCCGACGATGAAGAAGGTAGGCAGCACCGTGCCGGCCGTCAGAATGGGCTGCCAAGCGGGCAGCCGTTGCTGTTTGAAGGCCGTGTTATCCGGCCTCCGGTTCTTCGTGGTGCCCCCCGGAGGCAACGGGGGCCCGCCATCCACCTCATCCTTCGCGTTATAGTTCATCGCCATCGACCCCCAGGGCGCGGCTCCGCGTCGCGCAGGTGGACCGCCCAGGGGACCCGCCTGCTGACCCGGACCGGAGATGCGCAGGCGCCGCAGCCGCTGCCGCCGCCGCCGCCACCTCCGCTGTAAAGGCGGAAGAGGCGGGACACCCTTACGCAGACGGCCGCTGACCGGAAGCTGGAGTCAGCTGCGGACGCCGGCGGGAGGGAGAGCGGAAGGAGGGAAGAGACTGAGGGACCAGGGGAGGGGAAAAGGGAGGAAGATGGAAGGGGGAGGGATAAAGGGGACGCACCCTGATCATCTGCCCTGTGACGACAAAGAGAAGGCCGGACCAACAGAGCGGGGAGCTACGTTGCGCTTGCGCGGCTTGGGCTAGCCCAGGCTTCGGCGCTTGCGCCGTAGGTGCGTCTTGGATTCACTCGCACTAGCTCGCGTTCACTCACCTCGCCCAGCTGTTGTGTCGTCATGGCGACGGCTGTTGTAGGTCTCAGGTACGTACGATCCAGCAGGACTGGCCCACATCCGTCAGCTCGGGATCTTCCGGTGAAGAAGTCTTTTATGGTGACTTCGGCGCCGGACAGGTTTTTTTTTTGTTTTTTTTTTTTTAAGATTTATTCACTTAAGCATACAAGAGCTGGGGCACAGGCCAGAGGCGTGGGGTACGGGGAGAGGCGTCACCAGAGACCGAGCGGGGAGCAGAACAGGCAGACTGACTGAAATACACTGCTGAGAAGCAGCAGGCGAGATAAGAGAGGTCGGCTGCGCCATGTGGGATTCTCCCTGGCCGGCCAGGGATCGAACTCGTGTTGCGGAGGCCTTGGACTGCTTAATAGTGCGGTGCTTAACCCCTTGCGCCACCAGGGAGGCCCACGGAACAGGTTTTTATTTTACCTTGAAGCACTCTGTAGAGGGAATCAGAGAATTAAGGAGATCGCACTTAGGGAACTTGAGCCTGGTGGGATTGGCAGTATTTAATGAGATTATAAAACCGCGACTTTTTAAAGTAAGCCGCCACTCTAGGTCCAAGTTTAAGCGCTTAAGGGAGATGCACGATGGGTAATCTTTTGTCCTATAGCCAAGAATAAATTGTGTGACTTGGTTAATCCCCTTGTACAGTCGCTAGGCTATTCTCATTTATTTTTCCTCCACTAATGAGCTTCACTTTACTTTTTAATTTTTCTGTGTCCGCGTTTGTCTTGCACATTCATTTGACAAGTCTTTTGTCGCAAAGTGTAACTCTTTACCACCAAGTCATTACTATGAAATGAGATACTAAGCAGACAGTTTGGGGAGGAAAAGATTAGACCTTTACATTTGGTTCTTCTAGTTTGGCAAGTCGAGTCAACATCAGGCAGATTTATAAAAGGGGGAAAAGTTTAATAAAAACAGGTACTTCTACAGTGTACATGGGGAGAGGTCCAGTTAAAATTGAGTAACTTGCCAAAATGACTTAGTCATCTTAACCTAAGCTGATGAGGGGATGGGGAGGTTCTGGGAGTTAATTAAGGGAGGTCTCCATAAAAGGTACTGTAAAAAAGAGTATATCTGTTACTCAAATTTAAATTACAACTTGCATCCTGAACCCCTCCTAAGATATAATCGTTGTGTCAGAGACACCATAGTGTTACAAAATTGCTTCCCTACCCTTTAAAATGGTCACGTGTATATTGTGCTCCAAGGAATATTCATTATATAAAAAGTGACCGTATCCCATAAAACCCAACTAAAAATTAAATAGTAGTAACCTCTCTGGACTGGATGGAGAAGATTTTTCCTCCACTTTGCACATTGTATTTTCCAAAATGTCTGTAGTAAGCATATATTTGTAAAAATACTCTTTAAGCATATGCAATCCACATTATACTGGAGTTTTTGAAATCTAGAGAATTCAGAGTCATCCTCTGGCTTTGAAAGTAACTCCTCATCAGAAAACAAATACCCAGACTTTATTTTCTTTAAGACTTTGTCTTCAGTTATGTCTTTGGAAAGTAAAAGAAGGAAAAGGAAAAGTGCTAGGACTTCATAATTTACAATTAAGTATATTTCCAAAATTGCTACATTCTCAAGCTGTGAGCCAATCAAATATTTACCTTGCAGATAATTGACTTGCTTGGTTTGCTCTTATATATCGCTCAAATTCTTAGCACTGGTACTATAAGTAGATCTGCATTTTATATGTCCTGTGTAAATTTACTTTCAATCTCAAGCTTAAAGGGAAATTATCAATCTCAGTTTATGGAGAAGGTGTGGGGTCCTTTTATTTTCTGTTGAGGAGTAAATATGCTTGTAACAATATAAGAGAAGTCAAAAGTATGAAGTATAAGATTTTTTTCTCCTCATTTCTGCCTGTTATATCATCCCATCCGCTAAATGTGATGGTTCCTTAGGAGATTTGCTATTCCAGCATTCTCTATACATAATTGATTATTTTGCCTTGTTTATTTTTTTTTTTGTTGCTCTACTGATGTGAGTGATCACTATTTTTAGTTTTATTTGTTCTTTGAAAAGATTATTTAACACCTTGTCTTTTTTTTTCCTTTTGGAAATTATACCTTTATAGCCTTGTAGATTTGAAAGCTTCCTTGATTTTTAAGTAAAACTTAATTTTCAAAATGGACTGTAATAGGGTGGTCCCCAGGAAAAGGGGAAGTTCCAGGTTTTCTTTCCCACCCAAAGGAGAGTAGAGCTGAGCAGGGAGGAGAAGAAGCTGGAGAGAAGACCTGGGTAGGGAGGAGACAGGACAGAGCAAGAAGGAGACCTGAAGGAGGCACATGGAGCAGAGAGACATGTGAAGAAGCTGCTCTTGGTTTTTTGTCCTGGACTAGTTGAAATAGATGTGAGTGAGAGACAGTGGGGAGGCTAACAATGGCAGCTTTTATCTTGATTTTGATTTGCTCTTTTTCTCCCAGACTTGTCTGGCTGTTTTTGACCCTTTATCATGGGTCCCCCGGCCGGAAGGTGCTTTCTACTTGTGACAGGCTTTCAGGCCTTGCTTTGGGCCAGTCCTGTTTGGCTGGACTTTTAAACAGTGGTTGCTCAGAGTGGCTGGTGTATGTGCCTTTGATGATACATTTTAATAGCATTAAATAACATTTGTATTGTTCAAATGATTGTTCTTTTTCTAATTCCTAGTAAAAGTAGAATTTGTATAGCTAAATGACATTGATCAATGCTGGCTACCAGATCAACATATGATACCAAATGCTGGTCTCTATTTCCTTTACCCAATAAAAGGAAACAGAGTTTGAGGAAGAGAGTAGTTCAGTTTGTTGACAAATTGAGGAAGGCAGCAGACTGGTGTCTGAAAGACCACTGTCCTGCTCTTTGGTAACAGGCAGGGGTATTTATCCAGAGTTACAAGGGAGTAGAAGGGGGAAGTGGGCAAGGGTCAGCGTGTTTATCCTTGCAACACAAATTTCTGGAGCTTTTGGTTGAGGCCAGGTTGCTTTCCCTATCACCTGGTGATCAGCAATCAGATACTGTCTTCCTAATGATGCTCTTTTCCCTCTCAATGTAAGAAAATAATGTTTTTAAACCTAGAGAGTAAGTGAGGAAATGGGAGAGCTTATCTGGTGGGACAGAAAGAAAGACAAGTCATTCATTCCTGTTTCATAAGCGTGCTATAAATGCATGAGCCCAAATATAAAAGTAAATCCAAGAGATAAACACATACAAACCCAACAATTAGAAAGGTGTACATGAATACCTTTTGGAAGGGAGGTCTTATAATTTTCCTTTTTTAGTTCAGCTGGTTGTGTTCAGGCCACTGAACTAGGTAGCCAGAAACAGAGAAGAAAAAAAAATATTGAGTAACTGTTAAGTAACTTCGGAATTAAGAAAAGGAAATAAGTTATTTGGCCAAAGTGCCACACCTATTTTTAGCCTCTTTTGGTGTCTTTTGCTTTTAGCTCTCTAACTTCTAACCATATTCAGACATGTTGCTTAACAATATTTAAGAAAGTTGAAGAAAGCTGAGAAATGTGCCATTTTTTTTTCTTTTTTTACCAGTGTAAATTTCCGAGAAACTTCTTAGGGACTGGAAATGGGTTGAATTGTTCTCAAATTTAAGCAAGTATTTTTGCTTGTTTATTTTTGGAGGAAAATATTTTTTTTCTCTTCAATTAATCATGGCAGCTTGTTTTAGAGAACTTTGGAAGGACTGAATAATATCCATTTTTATTTATCCAAAAAGATTCTTAGGAAATAAGTGATATATTATAGAATTTGTTTAATAAATTTGTTTTCTTATTTGGTGCATCAAAGAATGGTTTAAACTGATTTTGAAAAGTTACTTTTTAAATAAAGTTATTAACCTTTTCCTTATTTTTATGTAGTGTCTTTTTTACCAAGATTGTCTTATAGTCACTAAACTTTTTCAGTTGCACATTTAAGGAAATCCCTTTGTTTTCACACTGAGATTCTCTGATTACCCTGAGGTCATTGATGGCTAGATCAAAGATTTTGCGGGTACACTGAAAAAGCACTGTCAGTGGTCAGAAATACAAGTTAAGCAAGATACTTTTCTGGTTAGTCCATTAGAGGAAAGCACAATACCAAAATTCCATAGTAGACAGCCTAACAACTTTGTTTTGGGAAGGAAATAAGGTTGCATTTCTCATAATTCCACACTTTTCTTTAAAGAATACAATTCTAATAAGACATCGATTTTGACTTTAAATTGCAGTTTCTCCTAGTTGATTGGATCCCATGGTATATATTTTCCCACTAGTGCTATCAATTATAGATCAATTTTAGATAACATTTTTCCATTTTAGATGAACATTTCTTCTTATCTGCAAATAATCAAATTAGCATCAGACAAGAGAAAAAAATCAAGTTTAATAATAACATGTGTACCATATACCTCCTGCATACCTAGGAGTGACCTAATAAAATTGAGTAACTCTTTGAAATGGCCTGTCACCTCTTTAAATAGCTTCAGCTTAAGACAAAAGGCACTGGGGGAGGGAAAAAAGGAGGGTGAAGGGTATTTAAGTTGCTGCCTTAGGTCACTGATGATTTAAAGAGATTTGATTTTCCTGGATCACCTTTATAAATGGAGATTTTCATTATACATGTAAATTGCCCTTACAAAAGGGCAACCTCCACCCAGTTTTCAGAGCCCTTCTATGAAATTATCCTTAAGTGAAAGAGACACATTTTGGGGTGGCAAATTTTTCTCCCCTACACCTTCAAATATGATGTTGCCATCTCTTGGTTGATGGCAAATCAATATCAATTACTTGTATAATAGTGAAATTATTTGCAGGAACAGGGAGCAGAGGAGGGAAGAGATTTTCCTTGCTCCATGAGAATCAAGAGATAAAGGAAAGTGGGTTTTTTTAAATGTTAATCCCTTATAAATCAAGTTTGGATTATTTTTAGACTTACTTTCAACTCAAATTTTTCTGTTTTCATGTTTAAATTATTGAATGGGGGAGTGGTAGACATTTCATCTTTTGTATTTTGAAACATTTGTGTCATTACTACC